AATGCATACTGTGGAATGCTCTTCTGCATTTAGAGAAAAACATTACAGTTATACATTCAGCCAAACTGATGTCTTAAAATCATGTAAAAAAATGAAACAGAAGGGCATCTATAGCACAACAGCATTTTTATGAATTAAAAATACATGCCCAAAAAGGACCATTATATTACCTTTCAAGGATCCTTACAAAGGATCAATATCAAACACATTAGCATAGGCATCTAAGGTGAAAAAGGAAGTATCAGTGATATACTGCTGCATAGCAAATTACTCCAAAACTTATCAACTTAAAACAATAAGCATTTTTACTTCACGATATCTGAGAGTCAGGAATCCAGGAAGAGCTTTGTGCCGTGGTTGTGCTTCAGGGTTTCTCTTGAGGTTGCAGTCAAAATGTGAGGCAGCCCAGTGGGCATCGAATGGCTTTGCTGGGATTGGAGGACAAGCTTCCAAGAATGCCTTCGATAACACATGGCTGTTGGCTGGTGACCTCAGTTTCTTGCCCCGTGGGCTTCCTCACTGGGCTTGCCTGAATGTCCTTAAGTCAGGTCATCTGGCTGTCCCCAGTGCAAGTGAAATCAGACAGAAAAAGAGTGAGCAAGAGGTAAACAGCAAGGTTTAACAATCTCAGAGGTTAGCATAACATCACTTCTGCAATATTCTATAGGTCTCACAGACCAACCTTGGTAAATGTGATAGGGGACTACTTAAGAGTTGGCAGGCATCATTAGGGGCCATCTTTGAGGCTAACTATCACAGATAGTAACAATGAAGATCAGAAAAAAGGGAAAAATTAATATACAATCAAATAAAACAAAAATTTAATCTTACACTGCCTGATGCTGATAGTGGAGTGAAATGATATAATTAGCTTGATTTTATGTACCTGGGTATGAAGGAAAACATACGCACAAATGTGTTATTCGTAAATATGCACCTAGCTATTTCTCTGTTCTCTTGTTGATAAACACATCTTTCTGATACGTTTTTCTGTTAGAAATAATGATGCAGTGAAAATCTCTGTATAGATCTCTTTGTGTACATGTACAAGAATTTTAGTGAAAGATATATATACTTATAAGTAGAAATGTCAACATTTATATGCACATCTCCAACTGTACTAGTTGGTGCTAAATTTCTCCCCAATGTGGACATATTAATGTGCATGTCCACCACCAGTAATATGTCCACATTCTTCTCTAAATGTTTAATGCAAGTTTAAAGAATTGATTTTCAGTTCAGGTCTTTAATATATCTGAAACTTAAATTTACGTATGTTGTTATAATAAGATAAAACTACATTTTACTTTCTACAGTGATGGTTGATTGTCCTACAATGATTTTTGAAAGTACGTAATTTCCATACTGATTTTTTAATGTAGGCTCTTAAATACTGAATTTCAGTATATCCATGCTCCGTTCTGTGTTCTCTTTACTTTCCTTTGGTATATTTATCTATAAAACTGCACCAGTAGCAAACTGTCCAAATTACTGACTCCTTAATAATTCTTTACACTTTTTTTATCCTCCCACTTATTACTCTTCATATTTTTTGACAATTCTTAGCCATTTACTCTTACATCAGCTTGATAAGTTCCACTTAAAAAATGTAGTTTTTAATTGAAATTTCTCTGAATTTATAGATCAACTATCAGAGGATAACATCTATAAAATATACAGAATTTCCATCTAGAGAAGGGGTACATTTCTTCATTTGTTTAGGTATTTTTTTAAATTTCCTTCAGTAATATTTCATAATTTTTTCTATAAATATCTTTTATTAAATTTATTACTAGGTAACTTACAATTTTTACTGTTATTGCAGAATAGAATTTTCTTCTTATTATTATGTTTTAAAATTGGTTGATGCTGGTGTATAGAAGTGGTATTGATTTCAAATAGATCTTGATCTTATATCTGGCAACCTTGCTGAAATTTCTGATTAATTCTTATCACTTCTAGATGTCCTTAGATTATATATGTTCACAATCATATCATCTTTAAATGATTAACTTTACAATTGTCATACTCATTTATTTTTATTGCTTTCTTATATTATCTAAGATCAGTAATATATTCAACGAGCATGATACTGGCCATCCTTTTCTTGTTCCTAACTTTAAAGTGTTTTCTAAGATTTTACTTTAAGAAAATATGCTCTACACTCCATCATGATAAAGCAGTTCTCTTTAAGTTCACTAAGATTTTCTTCCTAGTAAGGTTTTATATTGTGAATGAATGTTAACCTATATAGATATTATTTTTCTGAATCCGTTTAACTGATTACATAGCTTTTTTATCTTATATGTTCCATTATGTTGACGTGTTTTCTGATAACAGATTATCTTTATGTTTATCAGAAAATCTCTACATTAGGTTTAATATAGTTTTCTTAAGAGATATTTATGTATACTTTTGTAATTAAGATTGTTAAATGTTTGTTTTAGTGCTATAAAGTACATAATTTTGGTACTAATTCTGGTGTTGGTGCTATATTAGTCTCATAAAAATGAATTAGGTATCTGCTTCTTTTTTTTCCTGGCTTCTAAAAAGTTGAGAAACAGTCAGAGTTTTATGTTCCATAAAGTTTTGGTAAAACATCTTCCTAAAACTACCTTGACTTGGTGCCTTTAAATGAAGATATTTTACTAATCAATTCCATGATTTCAGTTAAGACAAGTTTTTCATTTCTTCTTAACTAAATTTGACATTATTTTACTTGAAATTGACACTTTAGCTGTGCTTCAAAATTTATTGGCATACAGTTTTCTTTCCCGCAGTTCTTTCAACCTTTTATAGCAATAATTCTTATCTTTTCTTGATACCTATGTTGGATTTAAAAATTAAAACATTTTTATTTTATAAATTTCTTCTCCTCTTAATTATTTTATCTTTTCTACTTTCCTTAAGTTTACTCAATTTTATTCTATTTCTTGCATGGAATACTTATCTGAATGATTTTCCTGTGTTTTTATTAAACCATTTATAACATAAAAGATACTTTCAAATACAGCCTAATCTCTGTCCTGTAAGATTTGGTATTTGATCTTTCCAGTTTTGTTCAGTTCTAAACTTTTAAAATTTGCAATAACTGTTTCAATAATCTATGAGATTCTTAGAATTTTTAAATCTGTTTTTAAGCATTCTTTGAACATTTGCCTCTTTATGTGGGTGGCCCAGTTTTTCTTTGTCTTTTCACTAGCTCTTCAAGAGTCACACTTGACATGGTGAATCTCAGTTCCACCTTCCCAATTAGTGCAGACTGAAGGCCCTAGCTCCTGCCCCATGCCCACTGTTGAAAGGCCAGCCTCTCCTTTACCAAGCTAGCCAGATAGCCCCATCACAATCTTGGCTACTCACTCTGTCTTTTTAACTTCTTGTTTGTTTCGAGTCCTTTATTTATTTACTTTTTTGAGGAAGATTAGTCCTGAGCTAACACCTACCACCAATCCTCCTCTTTTTTGCTGAGGAAGACTGGCCCTGAGCTAACATCCTTGCCCATCTTCCTCTACTTTATACGTGGGACACCTACCACAGCATGGCTTTTTGCCAAGTAGTGCCATGTCCACACCCGGGATCCAAACTGGTGAACCCCAGACAGCCAAAGCAGAACATGCGAACTCAACCGCTGCGCCACTGGGCCGGCCCCTTCATATAGTACTTTTAAGAATTGTTGAAAGATTTTCAGGCTATCTCTTATGCTATATTCATAGAAACACTCACACAAAGTTTGCCCAAACTCCTGTATGACAGTTTAGCTGGGAAGTTAATTCTGAATCATAACGTGTATGTCTTAAACATGTAGAATGAAGTACACCATTCTGTTTCTCCTTGTTGTTAGTGTTTAAAAAAAAAAAGGCTGCTGTCATCTAATCATCACGATTTTATAGAAAATTGGTCTTTTTCCTCCAGTGGCTTTTAAGAATTTTCTTTTTGCTTTTGGTGTTTTATAGTTTCAATATGAGATACCTAGTCATGGATTTGTTTTTATCTTCCTCAGAACTCAAAATAAACTGTCAAATTGAGGATTTATTTGTTTCTTCAATTCTGAAAAGTTTTAGCCATTACACCTTTGAATATTGCTATTCTAGTTTAATCACTGAGCCTGGTATCAGTCTCTTGTCCTGCATGAAATACATTTATTCTGCTCCCTTCCTCTGAAGCATCCGCGTCTTCTGAATCAGTTCCTGAGCTCATGGGCTCGGACTTTCTGGACCACTTTTATAATTATTTTGTTCCACAAAATTGTTTATTTTATACTTTTTAGACCGTCAATGTTTTCTTAATTTGTTAGGTTTTTATCTTTTATTTTTTATTGCTATTTATTTCAGACACAGAGGGAGCTCAACAAATGAATTTATTAAATTATTTCAACTGGAAGTCCTCTGATTTGCATATTCAAGTGTGTAGAGAAAATTGCATAAAGGATATGTTTGTTAAGTTTGAAATAGGCATAAATTTATAACAGCTATTAGTTACATGGATGAGAAAATTCAAATTTTAAAATTATTCACGTTTGATAATTGGCCTGAAAAGAAATGTTAACAGGAATAGCTGTAGTTTTTGATATTAGTAATAGAATTAAAATTTTGGCAATGTATTCAGCAGTTAATATATAAAACATCTTTGTATGTTATTACTTAAAAACAGTATAAATGACTTACATATGATTGCTGCATTGCTGTAATTTACCAGAAATTGTTCCAGCCTCTGAAAATACAGCAGTGAATAAAACATCTTGGCAGAAGAATATTAAACAAATGGACAGATAAATACATATTAAAAATTGTGATAAAAGCTATTAATATAAAAGGGGGCTACAAGAGAGAGGAAGACCAAACAAGGTTTGGAATTGGGGCAGCCCTTTCAAGACAAATGTTACTTGAACCAGGACTGAACAGATGAGAAGGTACTTGCTAGTAAAGAATGCTGATGTGTGCTAGGCAAAAGGAACAATTTGTTCAAAAGTCCTGAATTAGAAAATAATTGTTGTCTTCCAGAATAAGCTGAAACAGAGATCAACGGGAGAAATGGCTAGAGATGAATTTGAGAGGTGAACAGGTCTCAGGTCACGAAAGAATTTTAAGTCATGTTTTAAGTTTGGATCATAATTGAAGTTCAAAGGGAAGCTATGACACAGATTCAAGCAAGTAAGTTAAATGATTCTATTCACAATACACATTTGCCAATATAACAACTGCTCTTATGTGATGGTTGAATAGTATCAGCCTAGACATAAAATAGTAACAACAATCAATGTACCTACTCACTAGTCGTACTCCTTAAATATGGACTTTGCTGCCATTGGCTGGGTTACTAGAATTTGAGCTCTTGTGGATCCCTTTTTGGTCTTTCACTTCAAATCATTTAATTGTTGTCCTGCTGAAAGTAATGTATAAGAAATAGGGCTTAAACTTTCTTGAAGTAAATGTTTCATTCTGGCTAGGACGGGCCCTGCATGATCATTAATCTTATGTGTCAACTTGGCTGGGGCACAGTGCCCAGAAATGTGGTCAAATATTATTCCTGTGAGGGTGGTTTTCAATGAGATTAACATTTAAATCAGTAGACTTTGAGTAAAGCAGATTTCCCTCCATAATGTTGATGGGCCTCATTAAATCAGTTGAAGGGCTAAATAGAACAAAAGACAATTTCTCAGAACAAGAAGGAATTCTGCCAGGAGACTGCCTTCAGATTTGAATTGCAACACCTGCCCCTGGTTTTCTGTCCATCCTATCCTGCAGATTTTGGACTTGCCAGGCTCCGTAATCACCTGAGCCAATTCCTTAAAATAAATTTCTCTCCATATATATACATACATCCTATTGGTTTTGTTTCTCTGGAAAACCCTGACTAATACACCCAGTGTGCTTTTGTCCATACTTATTGACCCTTTCACTGGTGTTACTGATGCCAGTACTATGTATTCTGGTGTCTATGTTCACAGTTAAGCTCCGCTGTCCTTATCTCCTGGGAGAAGAGACATAGTGTTACAGAATCATTTTTCCATTGTTTGCCTCCTTGTTAATTTAATCTGTCCCCCAGAAGATCAACAATACCTTACTTTCCTCAAATGCCTTGGGGGCCCTCGGTTGGGAAGCCCTCAGATGTCAAGTTCTACCATATACCTCTTCCTGAATGCCTTCTCATGCATATGTGTATAATAGCAAGTACCTTTATTTATACCATCAATATAGTGTCACATTGCCGGCAATTGTGGAAGTCCATGCTCCACTTAATGAAAGTGATAATATTCAGTATCCAGGACTACTCCTGGGGCAACTTATTATTTTTTCTTTTATTCTTAAATTCTAATGATATAGCCCTTACATTACAAGATTTATATCCGAGCAGGGTTTGCTACCAGAGGAAACTTTACTCCGTATGATATTGCTGATATTATATTAGATATTACAACAGCAAAATTAGTTAAATTTACATAGGGATATTTGTTAAGGTTGACTTGTGAAATTCTTTAGAGATTTACTTTTAAGAGTATTACTTTAATGTTTCTCTCTAATAAAAGCCTGAAACTGATGTATTATTTTGATCTTTTTAGTTATATGAGAGGGTATGACTCAATGATATAATTGTTTTCATATTTAACTCTGAATACCTTTTTGGAATATATAGTTCTTATGTTTATTAATTCTACTCTTGTCAAATAATGCATTTTGTAAAATACTAGTTTGTTTAAAAAAATTACCTGAATTTCGTATTTTATATTTTTCCCTATTTATTTAATGACTAGTACCTTACCTTCTTCCAAAATGGATAGAAGACAGGTTGAAAAATGCATAAAATGCAACAGTGAAAACTATTAGTCAAGATAAAAGAAAAATCAAATAATAAAATAAGATGAAACAAACCTGAATTCAATAACTGAGCCTAGGAACTTCTTTACATTGTATAGTTTGACCAGACACTTGTGCCTCAGTTTACTAACAGAGTAAAATATAAACAAACTTCTTCGCTTTACAAAAAAATTCAGTTCCTAAGAAGAAAAGGCTCAATTCTCATACTTTGAAATTGAGGCATTATGGAAATATATACTCAATCATGAATAAGAGCTTCTTTTGTGATTTAATTTAAGAAATATGAAATAAAGTTCCAAAAGTTATGTAATGTTGTTGATTCTTTCTATTAGCACCTCTCTCACTTTTTATATTAATATGGTACCGAGTTCCATAAATTTATAAGTTCCATAAACTGAATCATTGTTTTGGTCACTGCTATTATTAGCTAATCTGAAGATGGAGTGTGTGTGTATGGGGATGTGTGTATTTTGAGTGTACTCATGAATTATTTAAATATTTCTCAGATTCATTAGCACTCATGAGCCTACTTCTTAATATTACGTGACAAAGTTTTGCAATCTTTTAAATTTAAGAAAAACCTAATCCTCAGTCATCATGACTTGAGACACAGATATTTCCTATCTAATAATTAAAATTATTTGTTTCAAGCAAATATCATAGAATGAAGAATTTTTCCTAAGGGCCAAATACAAGGGCACTCAAGAATGTCATTTTCTGGGGCCAGCCCTGTAGCTGACTGGTTAAGTTCACATGCTCTACTTCAGTGGCCCAGGGTTTCACCAGTTTGGATCCTGGACACAGACTTAGCACTGCTCATCAAGCCATGCCGAGGTGGCGTCCCACATAGCAGAGCTAGAAGGACCTACAATTAGAATATATAGCTATGTACTGGGGGGATTTGGAGAAGAAAAAAAAAAGCTTGGCAATAGATGCTACCTCAGGGCTAATCTTCAAAACAAAACAAAAAAAAGAATGTCATTTTCTGTGAAAGGCTTACCTATGTAGTTAAATATGATTCTATTCAATAAGTACATGTTAAAGAACTGGATTGGGAGATTTAAGAGGATATAAATATGACTTCCATCTTCAAAAAGCTTATAATTAAGAGTCAGTAGAAAGGTCTGGAAAAATAGTATTGGACGTGCAACTTGAAGGACACATGAAAATTTAGCAAAGACAGATAAAGGAAATAAGGTAAGCTCCACGTAATTGGTATTTATTCCCACGTGTGGCACCTGGAATGGTGCAGAAAAAATAGTTGGTTCTCCATTAATATCAATTAATATCTATTAATTGAATTTAAAATATTTCAAGAAAAGGTTTTTGTAAACATAGCAAACAATAGAAATTACTTGTGTATGATTTTCACATTTTAATGTTAAAAAAAGATCCAATTCTTCCACACTATAATTTTCTGGAAAATACAACCATACTGAAGACGTTAAATAACTCCTCTTTGTTCAATAACTTTTATATGTTCTCAACATGGTAATTAACTTGAAGAGTGCATGAGAAATAGTTTATAAATGATACACAGTTAAAGAAAGAAAAAAGTAATGGAGATCACAATGGGAATTTAGCAAACTACATATCCTATTTATCGAGCTTTAACTCTCCAGCTTTTTCTATGAGGTCAGTACATAGCATATCTTTTTTGTTGTGGAACGAATTATTTCTTACATTAAATTCATAGATATATTGGAAACTCAAAAGCCTATACTTTCGTTTCCAGTTTAAAATGCCATCTGGCTAGCAGTCCTTGAAGCAGCCTCCTCCACCTTTTTGCTAAACTAGTTAGGAAGAGACTTTAAAAGATGAAATTGCACAACACTGTGAACTGGACTTACTGTCAACTTATTGTCAGAATATGAGAGGAATTTCCATTAACTACAAGGCCAAGGGGAGTGGATTAAATATACAATCAGTACGATGCTGCTAGTGTGCCTGCCTGCCAGAAAGTAAATAGAAAGACCTTTATTTCTTGCCTCTTTCTCTAATCCCTGGATCAGAAACAAAATCTCAACCAAGCAGAAAACTGAATAGCCATCCTTCTACAGGCTGCATGCTAAATTTTAGGCAATGTTACAGTTTCCCATGGTCCCCACCCTGACCCTTAAGACTATGTCTCATTCTTTATCCATTCATTTATTATAATTTCAAAAGAAAAACCACAGAAAAAAGATGGGATAAGGGAAGGAAAAGGATTATTGGAAATGCCTTGAAAGCTGAGAATACGATTCCTACGCCTACAATACTAGTTGAGGAGGGGAAAACAAGATAAGCTTTGTTAGGGCCCTTTTCTGTATTTACTCGATATCTGTCCAGAGAGTCCAACACATTTAATGTAGATGGGAGAGAACCCACACCAATGGATAAAAACACTCATCAGATAAATGGCAGATAAATATTGGAAATTGGGCTGGGAATTATGCATACTCTGATCTGTAACTTTATGCAATTATTCATCAAAGTTGACTGGATTTGGATACCCATCCCCCCTTTCAATGATTGGTAAACATGCATAATGATATTAATGATAACATTAATCTAAGAGGCCCCTCTGCTCCACATACACATTGAGTCACTCAAGTTTAGCATCCCTGAATAGGACACAAAAAACAATGAGCTATGTTAAATGGAAACTGGAAGACTAGAACACCTAGTTAAAAAGCCAAAAACGTTAAGTTAAATGGGAGATTGAGGGAAAGAGAGCGAGAGAAAAACACTAAAAAAATGCATAGATGTGTCAAGTTTCCCCCAGCAAAGCCTTAGATCATGAAGTGAAGTCAGGCCTTTCAGCATTTACTAGGATTTCTAATGTCTTTTCAAGCTGTGCTCAACTGTTAGGCATTAAAGACATACAGTCTTTAAAATGGAAGCTATTCACAAAGACTATCAGAATATGAAAAAATGGTAGAGGGAACTTCTCCTTCCCCAAACCTTGATCCTAATGACAGGCTAGTTCATGCAGACACACATCTGACGGTACATGATTGCTCCTGTGACTCTGAGGCAGAGGCAGTGATTATCGTGCTTCTGACGTATCTGCAGAATGAACGTAGGTCAGGCCCTCTTGCCAGACCATGAGGAATTTTTTGTACAAATAAAGCAGGTCTTCAGGATCATCAGAGATCTCCTAGGAAAAGCATTTAGTGTATTTGTCTTGGCCCTGAAACTTATCCTCTGGATGATTTTCTCTTTATTGTGTTTGCCTTAAATGAGACATAAATAATTGTTTTGAGTCAGAAATACTATAGCATGTTTATGCTATATTTCTATGAAATATTGTATGATTGCACCTAAGAAATCTTGTTGTATCAGTTAATATAAAG